CCACCAATGTCACTAAGCCCACTCCGATCAGACTGCTATGCCCCAAACCTTCCAATTAGCTTAACAAATACGTGGCCTGCTATTATGTGCCCAACACCATTCTAGGCCCTCAGAGCAACAGGGAACAGGAAGGACAAAAACTCTCTGCTCCAAAGAGTTTACATTCTCAAGTAAGAAGAGAAACAATATGCTACATTTTGCGTGTTTATCAACTGAAGGTAAGAATGCTGGAGAAAGAAAAGGCAGAGGAGAAAGCATGGAGCATTCAGAGGGAGGAGTGTAATTTTAAATGTACTGGTCAGGGTAGGGTTCACTGCAGTGGTATGTAAAGCAAGGCCTGGAAAAAGTGAGAGAACAAGCCATGTGACTATGTGGGAAAGATCATTTCAAGCAGAGAAAACAGCAAGTACAAAAGCCCTAGAACTGGAAAGTGCCTGGCAAGGAGCCTTTGCTCTGAGCAGAGGGAGACGTGATACAACCTCCATTCTAATAGATAACTCTGGCCACTCTGGTTATATTGAGCACAGAGTGACGGCTGGGACGAGAAACAAGGAGGACGCACGGACACCAAAGAGGAGACTGCGGCGGTAACCCAAGTGAAGATGGCGGTGACTCACACAGGCGGCAGCAGTGGAAGTGGTAACAGCGTCAGATACTGGTTTTGGTCCTGGTCAACAGGGCTGTGAGGGGCTCATTTACCGAAATGGGCAAGACCATAAGAGAAATGAATTCTGGAGAGAGGATGAGAAGTTTGGTTTGAGACAAGTTTGAAATGTCTTTGGAGACACCTAGCTAGCAACACTAAGCAGAAGGCCAGATGTACGGGTCTCAAGTTCAAGTGAGAGGCCAACACTAGACATGTAAATTAGGGAATTATTAGCCTAAAAATGGTTATTTAAGGCCACCGAATTGGATTAAGAGGAACAGACAGTAAAACTAACTAGAGAAGAGGGCTAAGTACTCAACATGAAGAGGGAAAAGAGGCACAAAGAAACCCCCAAAGGATACTGAAGAGCCACTGCTAGAGAGAGGCGAGGAAAGCTAGGATATGGAGCCCTACTTTCCTGCTGCTGCTGCCGTAACACATTGACCACAAACTCCCTGGCTTAAAATAACATAAATGTACTATTTTAATATTTACTATTAAGGGCCTCTTCTTCCATCTTCAAAATGCATCTCTCCAAAGACTGTTCCAGGATCCTATCTCCTTCTCTGACTCTTGCCCTCCTGCCTCCTTCTTAGAAGGAGCCTGTGATTAGATTGGGTCTACTTGAATAATCCAGATTATCTCCCCACTTCAAGATCCTTAACTTCATCACATCTGTAAAGTCCCTTCTGCCACGTAAGAGTACATTCACAGATTCTGGGGATTAGGACACGGACAACAGAGTGGAGTCAGGGGTATCATTATTCTGTCTACTGCACCAAATGAGAAGAAATGACCAACTGGGCCAAAGGTTACTAAGATCAAGTTACGGTGACCACAGATAAAAATTGGGTAAAAATTCACCGCTGAATTTAGCAACATGGATGTCATCAGCAACTCTGATAAAAGCAATTTCAGTGAAGTGTAGTCAGCAGAGTATGGGAAGAGGGAAAATGGTGGCAGATGAGTAAAGGCAATCTATTTGAGACGTTTTACTATAAAGAACAGAGAAATGTAGGAATATCTGGGTCAAGTAAAAAAGTCTCTTCCACGTGGGAAAAAAAGTACATGATTTTATGCCATAAAGAATGATCCAGTAGACGGAGAAAATGGAACACTGTTGGAGCTACATCCTTGAGTAGTGAGAAGGAACAGGGCTAACAAAAAAGTAGGGGGCTGGTTTAGAAAACAGCATCATCACCCACCAAAGTAGGAAGAAGAGTCAGCTTATGTGTGTTATTTGTTTTTCCCAGCCACACTCAGCCGTTCAGGTCCAGGAAAGGAACAGAGGAAAAGCTAGATTTCAGAATGGTGGTTATCAGGGGCTGAGCGAAGGAGGAAATGAGTTATTAAATGAGTATAAAGTTTCAGTTTTGCAAGATGAAGAGAGTTATGGAAATCGGCTGTGCAATAGTGTGAATGTACTTATCAACACTTCTGAAGTGTACCCTTGAAAACAGTTAAGGTGGTAAATTTTGTTAGGTGTATTTTACCGCGATAAAAATCAAAATAGGGGAGCCTGGGTGGCTCAGTCGGTTAAGTGTCCGACTCTTGACTTCAGCTCAGGTCACGATCTCACGGTTTGTGGGATCGAGCCCTGTGCATCTAGCTCTGCACTGACGGCACGGGAGCCCGCTTGGGATTCTCCCCTGCTCTCTCTCAAAATAAATGAACGTTAAAAAAAAAATCAAAACAAATTTTTTATTAATTTAAAAAAACTATGAGACATGAGACCTTTAGGTCAGTGAAAACAGATAAATAAAATCACATACATTGCTAGCTTTATGTTAAGTTGCTCCCAATTTTTAGACTGTTCCTGGTAGTACGAATAAATGAGTTGATCCTTATAGTAACAATAAAAGTTGAATTTAACCAGGAGAAAAGCTGGGGTTTGCCAGAAGACCACAGGCAAGAGGACAAAGAAAAACAGGGATTGAGGGTGTACGTAGGGAGTGATTACAAAGACTCCATGCTAAGTGGAGAAAATAAGGGCACAGACAAGTGGAAGCTGGAAAAAGGCAGAAGGAGCAGCAGACTGTTCAGTCTAGAAGAGGGTTCAACTGCTGGAGACGGGGAAGTGGCAGCGCGAGCCGAGACGCGGCATGTGGCCTTTAGACAGCCTCCATGTTGTGTCCTCCAACTAAGCACCCTCCCAGCCTCAAGGCCTCTCCTTGGACTATACTCTCTGCTTGGGTGGCACTTCCTTCCCTCAGAGAGCCTCACGGCTTGATTCCTAATCTTGGGGGTCCTCTGATCAAAGGTCATCTCATCAAAAAGGCTTTCCCTGACCCCCTTTAAAATACAGGTGTGCCTCGGGAGATACTGCAGGTTTAGTTCCAGACCACTGCGATAAAGCAAGTCTCACATAAAGTGAGCCAAGTGAATTTTTTGGGTTCCCAACGCATGCAAACGTTACATTTACACTACGCTGTTCCCCCCCACCCCAAGGTGTGCAATAGCATGATGTTAAAAAAATGCACACATCATAATCAAAAAATACTTTGTTGCCAAAAAATGCCATCACCTGAACTTTCCGTGAGTCCTACTCACTGATCACAGATCATAACAAATATAATGAAAAAGTCTGACATATTGCAAGAATTACCAAAAGGGGACACGGAGACATGAAGTGAGCAAATGCCATGGGGAAAGTGGCACCAATAGACTTCTTGAAGGCACCTCATCTCTCAAAGCCTCAATTTCCTCTGACGCAATATGGGGATATATTCAGTGACCTCAAAAGGTTATCACCAAGAGTAAAAAAAAGTATCTGGCACAGAGCATACTCTATAAACATTAGTTCATGCTTCACTCCTTCCTTTCAATTCTCCATGCATAAAGCGGGAACATTACTTGTCCCTCCCTATTGAAACGGGGGTGATCAGCATGAGGGCAAAACGACATGACTGACAATACACACCCAGCATTCCTGGCATTAAAGGCACTACCATCCACGGGGTGTGTCAGTGTGTACAAATCACACAGCACTCAACCGTAATTTTTTTTAGTAAGAGGATCACGAGTTTAATACCTCCTCTCCTGGCCCCCACATCACACACACAATCTGCCCTGTGTTTTCAACAGACCTGACTTAGGAGTGCTGCGGGTAGTGGCAGGCCTGCATTTCTGCATAGTTCCTAGAATCCCTATTAAAGCTTGGACTATTTCAACAGCTTTGCTGTTTTGCAAAACTCAAACCGCACAGAAGTCTGTATCTCCAAACATAAGCATGTAGGGCCTGATGCCTCAGAGATATGTCCCTCTTCCCTCACCTTTCACCCCAACTCTACCCTCTCACCTGTTATTTTTTCCAAGAGAGAAACATCTTGCACTTCTTGGGGCAAAGAAGCAATTTTCTGCCGGACAGTAGCATCCCCCGATGCAGCATTCTCCAGGTCCTGCAAAGCTTTGATTAGTTCCTCAGTCTGTACAATGAAAACACAAACAACACTGTCCATTAAGATGTAGTAGACTTAAAGAAAATTAGCTAGAAATAAATGAGGTGGAGGCCAATTCTAAAAATAATCATTCCTGACATTTAAAAAACATTGTTCTTAGTAACAGAGCCTATACTGAGGTCAATGATATGGAGTCTAAGAGAATGTACAAAGTTAATTTTTCTAAGTCAATGACAGAACATAAAGAAATTCTACATAATTCTGAAAAAAACAAAAACAAAAAAAAAACGTCACAACCTTTTAAAAGAGCATGGTTTCGGCAACTGAAAAAAAATGGAGTCTGGTTCATACTGCTAGGTTTCAATGTTCATTTATTTATTTTTGAGAAAGAGAGTGTGAGTGGGGGAGAGGCAGAGAGCGAGGGAGACAGAGAATCTGAAGCAGGCTCTGAGCTCAGGGCTCCAACTCACAAGTTGCAAGATTGTGACCTGAGCTGAAACTAAGAGTCAGAAGCTTAACCGGCCGAGCCACCCAGGAGCCCGGTCACTGCTTAGTTTCAAATAATGTATGGTTTCTAATACAGAACGGTCTTGGTCTCCAGTACAGAACAAAGGCATACACACCAGATGTTGAACAATTGTGCGATGACTGATTAAATGAAATGACACCGCCGACTTCAATTCTTCCTTGGATTTGCTTTACAAAATAAATGTCACAAAGATGACAGTTTCGATTTTGGCAGCCACTCCCAAAATTAAATGTGTCAAACTCATTAATTACAAACAAAGGGGAAAAAGACACAGAAAAGAGCAAACCAAGAATGCATACTCTGTGTATTAAAAAAAGAGGTTTTTAAATCATCAGAAAACAATGAACACCAACAGGTTAGCCAGTCCATAAAAACCCAGGAGACAAACTGACAATGCAGACGGTAGTCAAGTTATCCTACAAGTTGATAATTCAGGCTGTCCTCCTGGAAGTTTTTAAATGGAAAGATATGTAACGCTGCTTTCACTTAACCCACCATCTAAGTCAACATTTTAACATAACACAAATCAGACATGCTTCCTATTTACATGGGTCTTCGCCAGACCCATGTATAATAAAGTAAAGCTGTTTTAGGCAAAATGAAAGGCCATGTAACTCAGTCAAGAGCATAGTCTCTGAGGTCAGTCAGACCCAGATTCAAATGAAGACACTAGGCAAGTTAATCTGTCTCTTTGAGCCTCACTTTCTTTGACAGTAAGTAAAGTAAGTAAGTAAATAAATAAACAGCAAAAATTAAAACCACACAGAGTTCATGAGCTAATTTATATTTAGGGCTAAACAGCGGATATATAATTAAAAATTCAACGGCCTGTTTTAATATTTAAATAGGTTATATTGTAGCAAATTTGCTATTGCTGCACAGACTGTCCTAGAAACTAATGAGTTATTTACTTATTAAAAAAATAACCACGCTGTTGGAGAAAAGCCATGGCAGAGGACATTCAAATGTCTTTGTAGCATTATCTACCCTTTCACAAAAATCTACTTTTTAAGAATATTGTCAATTCCTAGGAGTGAAAAAAAGCCAAGTCCAAATACTCTATAAGACATAAACCCATCCAGGCTCATGGCATGCGAAGACAAAGGCAAGCCTGCTATCTGCCAAGTTTCCCTGGGTGGATCTTGCACCCAGCGCCCCCGGAACTGCCCTCTGGTGATTTTGTACTATTGGTTCCTAGCGCCACCTTGTGGCCATAATCTTCAACTAGAAGTCATGCCACAAAGCGGCTCTGCCCCACTCTCTGGGAGTCCAGACATACCAAGAGGGGTCCTGCAGAAGGATCTTGGGGAGAGTAGCTTCCAGGGTAGTCGTCGTCCTCCTCCTCTTGGATCTGCTGAAAAGTTCGCTTCAGGGATTTCTTCTCTTCTGCTGCTAGAGGAAAGAAATAGGGCACAAACTTGGGTCACGACAGCCCGTGTAGGTAAGAGTCAAATGCTATGCACAATGGGCCACATGCAAAAAAAGGGCAAAAGGGGGTGTACATTTCCAAAGATAGCTTAACGTTAACCTATACGCTAGTTATTTTAAATTGGTGGTAGTTCCCTACATTACTGAAGAGTCAAAAATGGTCTTAGGTCTGTCATCTCACAATGACTCATTGAAAAAAATACTACCGAAAACATGCGTCTAAAAACGAGACTTCCCCAACTAACACATTTCATTAAAAAGCTTATTTCTTAAAAATAAAAGGTAACAAGAGAAGTAAAGTGGCAAGAAACCCATGAGACAATATAACAAAGCGAGCCAATATACGGGAGGGTTTGTAGAGAATATACTGCATATTAAATGGAACACTATATACTTCCCAGGAGGACTTCAGAAAATAAAAACAGGCATTCCCCACTTTTCTAAAGCTTGCTTTTATGAAAGACCTACAGTAACAGCATCCGTTTTCACTAACCAAAACAAATTCAGAGAGGATATTTGCTTTCGCAAAGAAAGGCAAAAAGTGAATAGTGGTCAGCATTTGTTTTGAAGGGAGCATTGACAGAGGTGGTGTGCACCCCAAGCAGCCAGAGGGGCCCGCCAAGTTCATTCCAGAAACTACACTCAGAATTTCAACATAAAGCCACCAGAGCTTTGAGCTGTATCTGTGAGCATCTGTGCTTCATCTCGATTTATTTTGTGCATCTGTTAGCAAGATGTGGCCTAAGGTATCAGAAAAGCCTAAGAGAGGTTATTTTTGGAGTCTGGGAATGCTCAAAACTTTTTCCATATAAATTAACGGTAACTGCTTCTTCACTTTATTCCAACTTGGCTTAGGAAAGGTTTCATAGATACGGTCTACTTTCGATAGCAGGAGAAACCTGTAGTAGAGAGAAACCAACCAATAAAATTGTGTCAGAAACTCTAAACACCCACGCTATGATAGGCATGTCCATTTCAAAACTCTTTCCTTTTGCATCAAATTGGACAATACAAAATAAATGCCAAACATCTGTGGGACACAAGTCTAAATGACACATTCAGGCTTGGAAAGCAAAGAAACAATGGTACACCTAACGTGTGCCAGGCGCTGCAACAGCTTCTGTACATTTAGTCCTTCCAGCAACCCTAAGATGTAGTCTCTCCATCTTGCAGGTGAGAAAATGGGAGGCCCAGAGAGGTTAAATAACTCATCTAAAGGTATGTACGACTTTCAAAAATCTGTGCTCTTTCCACTGCAGTCAAATTCCTTAGCAGCACACAATCACTCTCTCATCTGTCAAATGACAGGTCGCCATGCACCTGCCTTAGAACTCTGTGAGTTATAAACAGAATAACGTACACTTCTTGCTTAATTAAACACTTTCTCCTGGAAAGAAGGATGTAGTTCCTGTTTCTACCTTACACATTAACTCACCAAACTATGCTTGATGTGAAAGCCAAGTCAGTATCACGGGTTCTATTTTTTTGTTAACGCTTTGCTCCTCTGTTCTACTAAATATCTGCAACACAAGCAGGCCTCACTTTGCGTGATTCTATTATGCATGGATTTGCTACCACAGTTTAAATAACACCAGTCCCCCAACAACACAGTCCAAATTTCAGTTACTGTGGCATATTAACTCTGAGTAACTACATAAAGAACAAACTTCACTAACTTCAGTCCACAAACCACTGCATAAATAATACAAATGCATCATGATTGGTGACCACATCACTTCTTTCAAGGTCAGTGGCTGGTCACTGCACAGCTGTTCTTTCAGTTCACACACCACCAGCAAAGTGTTTAGCTGTGTTGTCTCCCAGTGATCAAATGCACATGGCATTTTATAAAAATGATTAGTCAAAACAGGGAACTGGCTGAAAATGACAAAGATGAAAGAGCAGCCCAGAAACTAAAACTAAAGCTCATGACGGAAGCGAATGGAATGTCACGAGAGCTGGAGAAGACGTAGCTGGCGGAGGGGACACTGGTGCTGCCACACCCTTCCAGAAACTCTAGGTCCGCAGCCAGAGTCACCTGGGGAAAGCCAGCTTGTCCACAGAAATGAAGAAAGTGGTTGTGACGAAAAGGATGACCGTGTCCCAGAGGAAGCAACGCTAACAACACTTCACGCTTCGGGAACTCTCCAACTTATCTCACGACACGGCAGGCACAAAGGCTAAGCTGCCGGAAGCTGATCCAAACTTCTAGGACACTTGTTCCGTACCACAGATGACACAGGAAGGCAAGCTCTGCACAAACCCCTCTTGTTAAGCTCATTACAAAGAAATAAAACACTTTAATTCTCAATGTTTCTAACGTTTTATGTGACAGCATGCTAGGCAACCATGAGTGTTACTATCTTTTCTGTTTCCCTATAGATTTGTAATGAACAGTGAGTTTTTTATTCTCTGACAAAGAATTTTTAAAAGTCATAGAACGATCATAATTTTTCCCATTAAGATCATTTTGCATGGTTTCAGCTCACATGGTCATTTTTATAGTCCTGCACTATGCAAAATAAGGACAGCTATATTTGTAGAATAATCTAATGGTATATAATTTGCATATGAAGTATCTAACAGTACTAAGCACACACTAGCTGCTAATTAATATGCAGCGTAGAGTATGACCCAAGTAGACACTTGGCCACCACAGCATCAAAGAGGCCCCTGAGTCAGGAGTCACCAACAAAAATAAGCACATGAGCAAAACAATTTTTTAAATATTTTTTGGCTCACTTCCAAGCACCTAGAACAGTGCTCGATTAAATAATTGTTAAATACGCTAAGAACGGTAGAAAAATTACAAAACTTGAATCTTTCAGCTTTCAAACTTCCATACAGAAGTTATTATATATAAAAGCCGCACACCGTTTAGTATCTCCGGACATTCAGAATCACTGAATTTGGGCACTGGAAAGCCTTAGACAGATCTATGTCTTTGCTTTCAACCCACCTCGTTTGGGCCCTGTAGCCAAAGTCACCTGCCTCCGAAACTGGAGTGCTTTCTACCACTTCATGCTGCCACTCGCTCATGGCATTACAAGACTGAAATCAAACTAATGAAAATAATCACAGGCCCATTTCTGTCCTTTGTCCTCCCGGTGGAAGAGGGTGTAATAAGAAAAGACCACGTCATCCTACTTCAATTCTCTCCTCTTTCCACTTGGAGGACCTATTTGAAATGCATTATCATGACTTCCTCCCTAAGCCTCCTCCTTTCCTGATCTACCTACCTACTCACACTATGAACACTTCCACTGGCCCCATCTTCCAAGTACATCACCTTGGAGACCACCAAGATCTCTCCCGAAGTTCTAACTTCCAGCAGAGTCTATGCTTCTGAGAGGAACCTTACAGATCTCTCCTGTCTGTTCCTTCCCATTATTGCCTCTTATCAGTAATGCGGCCTTCTCCATGCCTGGTCCAGACCACTGTCCCAACTGGTCTCCTTGCATCTAGTCACTCCTTTTTCAACTCAGACTATACTCTTATGAAATGAAATCACCCACTGCACCTCTCTCTCTGCTCAAAAACCTGTAATGGCCTCTAACGATGTGACAGTAATCAATGCCTACTAGTGGTAACCGCACGAATCATCATCTCCCCCTACGTCCACAGCACTTGGCCCTTGCTACTTTGAATGGCCACTGGCAGGCATGGGCCTTATCTCTCTGATAGAAACATTAAGCGTCTTATTTCTTTACATTCCTATAATACCTAGGAAAGTGTCAACAGACCCAAGCTGGAAACCTCTTGAAAGCAGAGGCGGCACAGAGCTTGGAAGATGTTAGTGCTGTGCCAAAAATGACTATATTGCTTCCATTTACACTAACAGGACAGCCTGCTCTGGTAACTCTGCCCTGATTCATCTGTACAAAGTCAGCAGTTACGACGCCTGGGATTCTCAATCTAGCCAGGCAGCTACTAAAAACAGCCTAGGAAATCTGTCAGTCAACAACATACCCTCCCACTATCAATTCAGCTTCCGACCACAGTATTTACACTTCATTTTTGACTTATTCAACCACTCTGTTACAGGCAGGGCAAACACTACGGGTGGCTCCAATCTGCCTGTCCTCATGTCGTATACCGTCTATTCTATTCTCCAACCTGTCCCTGTGTCTCTAGGGGCCTTGTACTTGGCTAACATTCAAGTAATCCTGGTTACCTAAGCATTTATCATGTGTCTCTTGGAGACCTGATTGTGATAGAATTTCACACACTATGGCAGACTATGAAATTAATTTTAAGGCAAAAAGCCTGAAAGCCCCAAATCATTTTATGAAATGCAGTCATCTACCTGTAAAGCTAGGTCTTCCAGACAATCCACCTGAAATTTTCTGGGATTAAAAAACAAGCAGAAAAAACCCCAAACCCACAGATCTGATGTTACTTTTAGAATGAAAAAGAATCAGGAAATATCGTTTACAACAGCTCCCTCATTCTTTGTTCTCTCCCTGCAAAATAAAGGCAACTTTTATTTTTTTTTTTTCATTTTTTTTTTTTTTCAACGTTTATTTATTTTTTGGGACAGAGAGACAGAGCATGAATGGGGGAGGGGCAGAGAGAGAGGGAGACACAGAATCGGAAACAGGCTCCAGGCTCTGAGCCATCAGCCCAGAGCCTGACGCGGGGCTCGAACTCACGGGCCGTGAGATCGTGACCTGGCTGAAGTCGGACGCTTAACCGACTGCGCCACCCAGGCGCCCCTAAAGGCAACTTTTAAAAGAAGCATATCAAACTTTACTCACAGAAAGATCCGAAGCAAAGCTCTGCTGCTGGAGGTACCATCCTGAAAGCACTCATCAGTACCGTCTAATCGAACTAAGTGCCCAGGTCCAGACCTGAACACCTGGGGACGCTGGGCCTGGAGCTCGTGCTCTTAACCACTATGCCTTCTAGTCTTGCACAAAATCTGGGGGACTGAAAATACTAAGCGTCTTCCTGTGTTTGCCACTGGCTCATACTGAGAAACTTAGAACATTAGATATTAAAACCTCAATCAAATAAAAGTCATATCGCCACTTTGTTAATAACATCTTACCTCCGTTATCTCAAATGACCCTCACAACAACACTATGGGGTATTAATACTAACAGACACATGGTACAGTGAAGAACCCAAAGCTCAAGAAGTCAAATGCTACGCACAAGGTCACAGAGGTCGGAAGTAACGGAGCTGGGATCCATACTCTGGAAGTCTGGTTTCAAATCCTTGCTCTGAAGAGCTAAATTAACTATATTAAGGTCCAGGAAAGTTGGGTGACGTACTCATAATAAACTCATATCCTAATTTAAGTCTACTGAATCCATGTATTTTAAGAAAACAGGCTTTAAAGTTGTATAGACCTAAACATGAATTTTCCACTTCCCAATTTCTTTTCTAAATCCTTCTACAACTGTAGGATACTGTGTGATTCATGTGTGACTTAAGTAAATGAAATTCCACGTAGTCGAGTGACAGCTTGAGTATTCCCACGAACAGTGAGACAAGTTTAGAACACCTGGGGAGACGGGTATATAAACCCAAGAAACTTCCAGTTCTAAAACAAAATTCCTAAGCTCATTTATTCTCCACTGTCAAGGTTCCACAGAAAAATTTTTATTTCAAAGGTAAACTCTAGCGGGGCGCCTGGGTGGCGCAGTCGGTTAAGCGTCCGACTTCAGCCAGGTCAAGATCTCGCGGTCCGTGAGTTCGAGCCCCGTATCAGGCTCTGGGCTGATGGCTCAGGGCCTGGAGCCTGTTTCCGATTCTGTGTCTCCCTCTCTCTCTGCTCCTCCCCCGTTCATGCTCTGTCTCTCTCTGTCCCAAAAATAAATAAACGTTGAAAAAAAAAAATTAAAAAAAAAACAAAACAAAAAAAAACAAAGGTAAACTCTAGAATTGTCTCATGACAAAGAAATATCATGAATCAAAGCTGAAAATATAAAAGGACAATTTGAATTCTGAAATAAACTTCTGGAGGACTTACCAATATTTTGAAAGGACTGAGGTAAAATATTTTGGTAACTCAGGTCCAAAGACAACACAAGACCTAACACATATGTTGGAACCTTTAGCTCTGTGCTTCCATGTTTATAGCACAGAGAAAGAGAAATTACCTTCAGATCAGCACTGTCCTCCACACAGAGTACTGCTTCGACCGCTGTTAACATCTAGATGCTCAAAGAAATCAGAAACCCAAAGGAGCTGTTTTCAAATGTACCACTACCATAAACTCGCCAATTCGCCTGGCTGCTCCCTGAGCACAAAACTATTTCTCGCTCCTCTGCTCAGTCCTACAGCATCTAGCATAGACGTTTACTCAAAGCACATGTCTGGCAAATGCTTGTTGAATTGAAACTCAACTCTTAGTTTCCAACGTTGTCTCGCAGAGCTCTCCTCCTTGCCCAAAGGTGTTCTAAAAACTCAGCACTGCTTACCAAGGAAATTTAAGAGTAAAGAATGCTGAGTAATTCCCCAACGCTGTGCAGAACACCTCCAAAAGGCACGATACAAACACTACCAGAATCTAAAGTAGGAAATACCCTACTTTTCAGAAGCTTCCACCAGAGTGACCTCAAAATTGTTTTCCATCACCTTTAAGTAAAACAACAACGACCTGCAGTCTGAAAGCACTTATGTCATTCTCACAAAGCCTCTAACTTGGTAGTTTTACAGGAAAGTTGTTCTACCTTGAAATGCATAGAAACTCAGACCTGGGAGAGATCATAAAAAGTATACAATAAAGGGGGGGCTGAATGAATGATATTGACACGTCAACTAACCACAGTTAAAGGCCACAGCAGAGGCATGTACAAAGTACCAGAGGAACATGGAGGGAATGGTTACATGTGCCCAGACAAGGTAGGGAAGATGTCAAAATGAGAATAGCATTCTTAAAGAATGAGTTCACCACACAGTGAAAGGGACAGAGGACATTTCAGGCAGAGGTAACACCGGACGCAAAGGAAGAGGTACCAAGAGAACATCCAGAAGGGAAATGGGTATGGCCAAAGACTATGGTGTGTGTGAGGCAATGGCAGCAGAATCTGGGAAAGTAAGCTAATTTCAGACTATAAAGGGTCCTAAGTATTATGTTAGCCCTTAGACTTATTCCTCCAGGCGATGAGTTCATGTACAGTCAGCTCAGGTCTGTAGCCCAGAAACACGTCGTGCCATTTCAAATTAAACCGCAACTAACCACAAACCCAAGAACCACATAATGTTTGATGTTACTCCTCTTTAACGTAAGCTCTTATGAGTGTGTGAGGTTCACACACTTGTGTGTACACACTTCTGGAGGGTATCCTGGGTTCAGTGAAGACCAAAGTCAACTGTAGGCTGCAAACTGACAAACATCAAAAGTATGTCTCCAAACCACACCAATATTTAATGAAGCCAAGTTCTGAGAGGGCCAAGGGACATATCAGACCCTGTAGGGGTCAGTGGCAGGGCTAGGACAAAACCTCAGTCCGGGGAGTTTCCTAGTTCCCCACAACTAAACAACATTGTTTACCTTTCCCTTGTGCAAGGAAAAGTCTCTGCAAGGCAGGAGAGAGCCAAGGAGGATACACGGCAAAGTTACGGGTGTGAGATGATGAATAGCATGAATACTAGAACCAGGCTTACACGCTGCAAGCACTACATAAATTCTCACCATCATTTACGAGCATCTCTCTGAAGAATCATACAATCGCTGGTGGTTCACAGCAACCCCCACTGCAGCTTTTCATATGTGATTCGAAAGTAGGCAAAGACCAAGAGCTGTAAACATGTGGTGATGTTTCTACCTTTGGGGGGAGGGCTCTTGGAGTCCTCCATAGACAGCTTCAGCTGCTGTATGAACTCGCCGCCATACACACTTCTTTCTTGCCAGATGTTCAGCAATCTTTCTAAAGGTTTTTTACAGCCTTCATCTGCCTCTCTGCCCAGAAAAGACGAAAAGATATATATAAGCTTAAGATGTTTTGCTTTTATTAGGACAGATCTACTTTAAAAACAACAAAAACTGACTAAATGATTGGCATATTTAAAAACAGAAGGACGAGTGAGATACATATCGTGATGAACAGATACCCAAAATTTGACCAGAACTACATTCTTCCTTGGTGCACAGAAAAGACAGAGGGATTATGTTATAGAAGTAATCTGTGTCCTTGACCTCCTTTTAAAGATGGGGTAAATAGGGCAACAAGCCAATAGCGGGTTTTTACAGACAATTATCAAAAATTGATCATTTCAATTGTGACCACTTGCTTTTCAGGAAGACATTAATAGAAACGTAGTGCCAGACTTTCTGCTGGAAAACAAACCTAAAGGGTCAAAACCTTAAAGGATACAGAAAAAAATGATTTAAAAAAATAAAACATTTACAATGGGGAATAAATTCACCACCACTCATCAAAGCTAACACAGCAACACCGCTATATGTATAAATAGAATCATACACACGTATATGCCAAGACTGATCTCCACTTAAATGAACTACTTCATACTTATTTTAATTCTGGGTCAGGTCATAGTCCTCATTCACACAAAGGTGTCTAATGGATAATCTTAGAATACACTGAGAATATAGCCCTCTGTAATTTATGTCTGAAAGAAGCTGCACAGTTTTTTTTCTGATGTATTACACTCTTGAAACAGTATTTTCAAAGAGATAACTGTAACTCACACCCTGCCCGCGAGATGACCGTAACTAGCACTCCGCGTGCAGCAGCTGCTTACCAGAAAATGTCAGAGAATGGGAAGACTTTCTGAAAGGAAAACAAATTCCTCACCATCCACAGTGTTACTATGAATTGTTCTGGTTGGTAAAGCTGTCTGGATGTCAGTGATCTTACCCTGAGTGACTTTCAACAAGAAGGGATAAGCTGACATCTTAGTTTCTAAGCCAGTGTCTTTAACATGAACTTCAAGAAGAAATCATACCGAATTCAACAGAGATGGGAACTTCATCCACCCTCAGCCCCGACAGCACTCTTCTAAAACTTATGTTAACAGTCAACATAACATGAGGGCTCAGCTTGATCTGGTCAGAATGCATTATTTATGAAATATTAGTGGCAAATCTCACTGAATCAGGGCCAAAGTACTATATCAGGGTTCTTACAAAATTGTTTTTGCTCAAACTTTTTTTTTAGTCAGAGGTGAAGTGAAGGGGGAAAAAAAGGAAACAATTTTCAATGACAGTTTATAAAACTTAGAGATAAGACCTAATTAGCTGATATTTGTGATAAAAACACTTTTATTCCACCTTCAGCATACATCTGGAAACAAATGACTTCTCACTTCTTCCTCTGCTGTCCACCTGGTCCAAGCCACTATCATCTCTTGCCAGATGACTGGTCCCTGCTTCCACGCTTGTCCTCCTACAAGCTCACCTCAAGCTTTAAAACTTCTAGCTCTGGCCTCAGAGCAGATTATGTCACTCTTTTGCTCAAAACTGCCAATGGTTTTTCCCTCAGAATAAAACCGAAAGTTCTTAAAAAGCCTACAAAGCCATTCTCAGCAGAGCTTATTATTTCTCTGACCTCACCTACTCTCTCTCCCTCCTTCGCTCACCAACAGCTACCCTGGCATTCTTGTCGCCTCAGGGCTTTTGCACTTAAAGTTCACTTTGCCTGGAACCCCATTTCCCTACATGGTGGCATGGCTCAGGTATCCTTTCCTAATCTCCCTATTTAAAATCATGCTCCCGGAGCACCTGGGTGGCTCAGTCGGTTAAGCGTCCAACTTGGGCTCAGGTCATGATCTTCCAATTCGTGGGCTGGAGCCCAGGGTCAGGCTCTGTGCTGACAGCTCGGAGCCTGGAGGCTGCTTCGGATGCTGCGTCTCCCTCTCTCTCTGCCCCTCCCCCACTCATGCTCGGTTTCTCTCTCAAAAAATGAATAAACATAAAAAGCTAAAAATAATTATTCTCCCTACTCCATTAACTTAGCTTCTGATAAGCTATATAGCTGACTTGTTTATATTCTGTCCATTTGGATATAACTTCCACAGGGCCAAGCGATTTGTCTTCTCAGACCCCCACTGCTACCCACCCTAGAACAGGCACAATATCTGTCTAATTGTAATCTTTTTTTTTTTTTGAAAATTTTAGATAGATTTCAGTAGGCCATACAAATAGTTACCTTTCAGCAGCCATTTTCCCACAACAAAGCCACCGGGTCAGACACCAGCTAAACAACTCCTCGGGGCCTTCAATGAGGTTTAGGAAATACTGTGCTTGGAATACAAAGAACAAGGCCCAGGGCCTAACCCATCGGCCCCTTCCCTTTCCAGACCCCAACGTGGGCTTCGCATTCTAGCAGCACTCAACCATACGTATCTTCTATTCAGAACTTGCTCCCTCTTGCCCACGTGCCTTTGCTCATGCCATCTCCTTGAAAGCAGAACAAGGTGAAGAGGGAGAAGTTGTGGGTAATATATAAGATGACTTAAGTACATAAGGAGCAGAAGAATCTGGAGGGAGAGAGTGGAATTAGATTACGAGGGCCCCGAATGTCATATTAAGTATGTGGCCTTTATCCTGAAGGCAATGAGAAATCACTGATGAGGTCAAATGTATGGTTTAGAAAATAAAATAACTAGGATAACCAAATCACAACTAATCAGAACTTAATTAACTGGTTGATAATTTTAACACACAATCTGTTCTCTGCAAATTCTGTTCACTTAAAAGAGAAACCTATCGTGACAAATTCTTATCAAGGATTTAGTTAAGGAGCCAGGGGACCACAATGCAGACTAAATATTTGGGACTCCATTTAGACTAAGAATGACTCGCGGTCCAGCTTCGACCAACGTCACTATATGCAATGGAAACTGATACACAAACCTGTAATAACCAAGTCATTTTTAAAAGGCTTTTACCACTAAAGGCGAAAGCCAAAAGGGGGCTCTATAGTTAAAACTGGTGAATGTAATTAACCAGGATAGGCTAATTCCTGAAGCAATGTAGTAAATGAAGATTCTGCCCGCTAAGTTTCAAAGCTACAAGATACAACAGTCAAGAAATCTTTTTACTCATGAGGTTTTGCCGTAAGCAGCTCAAGTGAACTGGAAATCCCGTTAGCACTTGGAATGAGGTACAACTAAAGCAATAAAGTAGTTTGATATCAGACAGAACTATCTTTCCAGGTTGCACTAACTCCATTCTAAACTGAGAAATCTTTGGGGCGCCTGGGTGGCGCAGTCGGTTAAGCGTCCGACTTCAGCCAGGTCACGATCTCGCGGTCCGTGAGTTCGAGCCCCGCGTCGGGCTCTGGGCTGATGGCTCAGAGCTGGAGCCTGTTTCCGATTCTGTGTCTCCCTCTCTCTCTGCCCCTCCCCTGTTCATGCTCTGTCTCTCTCTGTCCCAAAAATAAATAAAACGTTGAAAAAAAAAATGTTTAAACTGAGAAATCTTTAAGTGAAAAAGACACCAAAAAGTCCTTGCCATTAATCAATGAATAAGTGGAAAATCATTACTAAATACATATACGACTTATGTTAAACACAAATTAGTATGCATTTCAATTCCGATTATAAATCCAATCACCGCAAAACTGATCTGAAAAGTGCAAACTGTGTATTATACACAGAATTGTTGCTTGAAATGTCAGCTGAGGCCTTGCCAAGTCAGCTTGGGGCCTTTTCTTCTTCCGGCACTTCCTTGGTATACTCACCATAATCTGTGTGTTCCTGTCTTGTGCCAGGCACAGTAGCACTGTAATAGGCCTACTAAAGGCAGGAATTCTTTCTAAATATCCTCAGCACTTCCAACAGAGCCTCATGTGAAACTGGAGCAGAAATGTTCCACTGCCAATAGCTCAGAAAAGAATCAGCATAGCAAGCCTGAGACCGTTACCCTTAGAAAAGGCCTGCTCACCAGGCTGGCCCTTGGCTGTCACCTGGAAACTTGGGTTTCTGGAGCGTTCTTGCAATTTCCTAACTGATAATCAGGGTAGTTTACTGTGCCTAAACTGTTTGTGCAAACAATGTAATTTATGCTGAATACCTGCTTTCTTTCTGGGAGTCTGGAATTTTGGCAGAGAGTATCTGTGGCTAACGCCAATAAAAACCCTAGGCGCTGAGTCTCTAATGAGCTTCCCAGGTACACAACACTTGACACGTGTTGTGGCAATTCAAAGATGGAGGAATTCAGTATGTTTTGTGTGACCCCGCTGTGAGAGGACTCTTGGAAGCTTATACCTGGTTTCCCCTGGACTGTGTCCCATGCGCCTTTTCCTTTGCTGATTTTGCTTTGTATACTTCCAACGTAATAAATCACAGCTGTAAGCGAGACTATACGCAGAGCGCTACGAGTCCTCCTAGCAAGTCTCCAATCCTGGAGTATCCGTGGGGATCCATGACACAACAGTAAATAAATATATATATGGTGATAACCTCAAGTTTATGTCTCCAGAAGTTAATTTCCTCCTCAGCTTCAGACTATTTCATCCATCTGCCTATCTGGCATCACTCCTTGGAATATCTACTAGCCATCTCAAACTTAACACGGCCAAAACAAACCTTCTGACTTCCTCTACCATATCTTTGCCCCAAACTCCATCTCAGTAAACAGCACCATCAGCCATCTACTTAGCCATGTCAAAAACCTAGAAATAATCGGATTTCTCTTTTCCTTTACTACCAGCTCCCACAAATCCTATCAGTTTTTACGGGGGGGGGGCAGTCAAATACATCCACAAAGTAAACACTGGATAAACTAGAAGCTATTACTATCTTCTCACTGCTTCTGAGTCCTAGCCATTGCCACCTCTAGCCTGTAGTAGAGCAATATCCTTCATCCTCACATCCCTGCCCCTCCCTTGGCCTTTATAACCCATTCTCCACACCAAACCAGAGAGACCTTTAAACAATGTGATGGAATACATCATTCTCCTGCTTAAGACTCTGTCACTGACATCCCATCAGAACAAAATCCTCTCTCCCAAGGCTTACAAGACTTACGTGATGGGAACCTGCCTGCCCCTCTGATCTTATCTGGATGCCACTTTTCCCTTCCTCAACGCAGTTGCTCTAACCACACTGGCCTTCATCCTGATCCTCTTGACACGCCAAGGTTACTCCTACCTTAGGTTCTTTTTAGCAGCTGTTTGCTCCTACTTCATGGATGATTACCTCAAATCCCATTTCCTTAGAGAGCTCTTCCATGAACACACTAGAAGGGATCCCACTCCAGAATGTCATTCTATCTCATTATGTCCATATCATCACTCTCTGAAAGCATCTTGTTCATTTATTTGTCCTTGCCTGCCTTGTTCACTGCGGCTTCTCTAGTGTCTGCATCGGTACTTGGCACACAGAAGGCACTCCAATATATGTTGAATGAAAAACAAAGTGCACAGCTATCTCCAAACTGAGAAGACAATAAGAAGGCATTGTGTGGAAAAAAGTTCAAAGTCTAGCTAATTAAACTACTATTCAAATTAAATCTAACCTAGGAGCTTGGTAGCTTCCTCTGACTTGAGAGGTTTGGTTTTGAGGGTTTTTTGGGGGGGCAGGGGGTGCTGAGGGGGTGGAGGGAGGAAGTAGGAAATTACCATAAAGAGATTCTTTTAATCAATTTTGGTCGATATTAATGGGTCCCCTATCTTTGTTCATCAACTGGGCACAGAAAACCAGACCGAGTACTTCTTACTACAGGTAAGGCACGTCAGGATCGAAGTGGAGTAGCTGACTTTTCTGTTCCAAAAATGGTGGAAGGGGCTTGGAAACATGGGGACCCTGAACCTAATACCCAAGAAGGACATTATACTAGAAGAATGCAAAAAAAAAAAAAAAAAAAAAAAAAAAAAAAAAAAAAAGGAAAAAGGAAAGGAAAGGGAAAAGAAAAAAAAGAAAAAAAAAAGGACCAGGTTTACTTTCCACATAATGCCACAGAATCTGCCAAGACATTTTAAAATAAAAATGGTATGTTTACTATCCTTATAGGAAATTATTTTAGTCAATTTCCTATACCCTAATTAATTCATTCAACAAAGATTTACTGAATCCTCACTGTACCAGGGCAGACCACAATGTTGCCCAACTCCGGGACACCAATCCCATCAAGGCTACATAAATGGTATTCCCGAAAACTATGCAACCTGGCAGCTCTGTGCCAGACCGCTCACCAGGTGCCCAGGATACAGCAAATAAAAAACAAATGGTCCTTCTTGTCACATAGTTTCTAATTTAACATATACCCAGGAATGAACAAAGACTGGGGACCTGGCATCAGACTAGGTACTTTCGAACAGACTGGTGTACTTCAGCCCCACAACAACTTCAGCGAGATAGGTGCTGTTGGCCCTTTCTAATCAGTTAGGAAACTTGGGCTCCAAAAGCTAAGTAACACATCCAAGGTCACTCAGACAGTGCTGGAGGTAGAGCTACAGCCTAAGAAATTGAACTACATCTCCTCAAAACAAGAAAATGCCTGGCTCCTATCTCAGATAGCTTTTCTGGCAGTCTTTTCTAAGTTTACTCTGTTACAAGGATTCAGGATTGTTTCAAGATTGTAACACATTCTGCTTCTTCAGTGCCCATGTTCATTAAAAGAAAGAGCCAGCCACGGAGGTGGCAAACAAAAATCTTTTTCCCACCTCTAGAAAACTAGCTGTCATTTGTTTCTTTTGGATTTCTCATTTTATTCCTTCAAACCTGTCAAATCTTTCCTGAGATGCTGGAGCCATTTACACATTTAAGGCCTTTCACTTACACTTTAGATCTACAACAATTTTGTTTAACCACTCGGTCTCCTTTTTGGTCTTCCCAATTTCCTTTCGCAAAGATTTTTTTTTTTTTATACGTCTGCTAATATTCTAGTGAAAAATAGTTTTTCTTTGCTCCTCCTGGGCACCCAACTTGGGTCTACAGGAAGCAGTTTGTTTTTAAATAACTAAAAATGATTTATAAAAGTTCTAATCAAATGTATTTTCTGTGATATTAGCTACACGTGTGCTCTATGCTCTAGTCCTCTCGTTCACAAAACAAACAGAAAAGATTTAATATGATATAGCCAGAGCAAATATCTACTTTTCACACTAATAATTATCTCTATTGTTATAGTGATGACTACTATTTTTAGTAAACTAGACCTCTAGACATCTAGAAGAAGGAAAGGGAGGAAAAATGAAGGCATAAGCAACTAATATCTTGCTATTAAGGTTTTGTTACTGAAAAGCTTCCACATACTCTTTAGCTTTGTTTTCTGACCATAAACTAATGAGACAACTTGGTCAAACCAAGGAAAACACCATATTCAAGAAATGAGTTCAATAAATGAATATATTTAGGGTAAAAAATGTTCTACAAGTGCTAGACTCAATCTCTTCAATGCATCAAAATGTTTACATGTCTGAAACAGTTCTTAAGGGTGCAACAAAACATAAAATTATAATTTGGCCTCTGCAACACCGTAAAGCACATCCCTGTAAAATATGAAGTTGTCAATTTACAAAGGTTATCCCAGAAAAGGAAAGAACAATAAAGAGGAAAGGGTAATGCATTTAAATACCAAACAAAACAAACAGAAAAACCAGACAACATACCTGGCAACATGAGAAAAAGCATCCACAAGGACAGATTCAAATTCTCTAGTGAATTCAGGTCCTTTCCTTTTACTGTTTTGGATGACATCATTCGCTAAGTACAAAAAAGTAAGCTTTCTATTTGATTTGGCTGGAAAAAAGGAAAAAAAAGATAATTTAACTTACACCAAGGAAATGCTCAATCCACAATTCTTCTGCCCTAAAATACTCCTAAAGAAACTAAGATAAGCATTATCTACCTGAGATCAGGGCTCCTTTATGTTTGAAAAAACAACTTAAGTAACTTTTTGACATCTCTAACAAAACAGGTTTGAGAATACAATTTTGAAACAAAACAAGAATGGGCCATTTTCATTTCTGTGATATTTTAACAGGAATAATTGACAGTAAAAATAAAGATAATCCAAAGAAAATTCCTAAAGGAGAAGCAGTCAACATTCTCAAGAAGACATATTAAAATCAAGGTTTTCATTTATTTTATTGCAAAGATAAGCATTTCTAATTCACTATTAATTATCAAATCCTGCAGAATGAAAGACTGAGCTAGGTGAACTAGGTGTCAGTTTTAAAGCAGATTCTTGTAATTTATGTTCCTATGGTGAGAATTTCTCTTTGGACGTTCCAATAACAATAATCAGCCAATGATACCAACTTTATAATCCAGAGAAATCTCTAGATGCACCAATGGATATTTACCTCAAATACAAATATATATTAATGGTACATTATTACTGAAAACTTAAAGATGTCTGGATTCTGGATACGCAAAATTATGGCTCCCACAAAAACTGTAATTCTTCTCTCTTATACATATTAAATGTAGTATTTTCTATTACTCTATATGGTATCATATATTAAACCATAAAAACCTCATGCACTGTGTCTGAGTTACAGTTGCTTGGGGGAACATTACTGAATTTCCTGGCTTCTATGCACATAACTTCTCAACCGTAAAGTTACATCACTATCATTCTTGGTCCCAGTTTTCTTTTAAAGGAAATAAATAAGAACACAATCAGACAGTCCAAAACACTAAGTTTTCTCCAATGCTAAAATACCTGAAAAACTCAAACAAGCCTTATATAACCTTCACATACCTAAATAGCTGGTCCTTACTCTACTTGTTCTCAGAAACCACCTGTTTCTTTCAAAATGCACACAGCATGCATAAAATCTGACACAGCAGGCTTAAGATGTGACATTTTAAAATATAGCTACAGAAGAATAAACCAAGTTAAAAACAATCTTTAAAGTATGTATTCATAAAATTAAATATGGATATCCTGAGTTACATTAACCTTCTGGTACTAACCTAGTTTAACATGGCTAACTGATGATAATATGTAAACCTGGAAGTATCTTTAACTATTCTAATTATTACTCAAAAGCAGATGGAAAAGTGTCAACAGTTACAATATCCTACTCTCGCTACAAAGGTATCGTTATGGCAAAGGCTTTTCTTTTTTTTTTTTTAAAGCAAACCTTGTTCTGGGATGTTGCAACAAGTAAAACTACCAAGTCTAATAATGCCATGAGTTAACAGATTCAACTTCAACAAAGAAAATTTGACTGTGTGAAGCTTTACAAATGCCATGTATTTTATGTTTAAAAACTCAGCATCCATTGTATAAAATGTCAGTTTGGACAATTAAGACATGATACATTTTTCAGTACTACAAACATGATAGCCAAGAGGCCAGAGAGCCGAAGTTTTTCACTATTTACAATGCCAATGAATTTTCATCATCCTCAAACTTTGCAATGAGGATTTATTTAGCATGAAACTTTATCCCTCCACATCCAGCTTCTTGAAGCCAACAGAAGTATCACGTGTGTAAAGGTGCTATGACAAAGCCCAGAGCACCTGAACACACACACCCTCCACTCTAGTCCCAGGTGACAGACAACTCACTTGTTCAGATGTCTTTCCAATATGACAAAATAGATCCTTTCACTGCCTAACTATGCCCATTCCAAATGAGCAGAACAGTTATTAAGCAAAATTTATATGGTTAACTGACGAAAAAAATGTCACGTTTAGCTGGTTTTGACATCCAAAACAGTTAGGAAAAAAAGGCCTGTTTTTCTGCACTCAAGGCAACATACAAAAACATTGCTAAAAAATATTCGTCCAAGAGCATTTTACATATAACTTCTCCATAAAGGGAAGTTCTACCTAGAATGGAGCCCAAAGGGATAAATTCAGAATTATTTCTATTATTTTATCAAAATTCCTATTATTTTATCAAATTCTTATTATTTTATCAAGAATAAAAGTAGTATTTAAGCAAAACACAAAGTAATTTCTTTAAATCCTGTAATACTTTGAAGGTGATTCACAGATAGTCTGTGAATACCTTAGGGAAAATGACTTGACCATCGATTGAACTGTCGACTTCTAAAGACTCAGGGTGGGCCAGAATCTAAGAGGCTAGACATTTTCAACACAAGGGCACAAAATCTTTTTCCACTTCAGTGTGGGGGCATGCTCAATTCATGATCCTGATGCTTGGAGGAGCATCCTCTACCTTGGCACTATCCAATATGGTAGCCACTAGCCACAGATAGCTACTGAATACTTCAATTGTAACTAACACAATTATTTAAAACTGTAGCTCCTGGGGCACCTGGGTGGCTCAGTCGGTTAAGCGTCTGACTTCAGCTGAGGTCATGATCTAATGGTTCAAGGGTTCAAGCCCCCTGCTGGGCTCTGTGCGGACACCTCGGAGCCTGGAGCCTGCTTCAGATTCTGTGTCTCCCTCTCTCTCTTCCCCTCCTCCACTCATGCTCACTCGCTCTCTCTCTCCCAAAAAATGAATAAACGTTTAAAAAATTTTTCTTTTTTTTTAAAAAAAATTTTTTTTTTCAAACGTTTATTTAATTTTTGGGACAGAGAGAGACAGAGCATGAACGGGGGAGGGGCAGAGAGAGAGGGAGACACAGAAGCGGAAACAGGCTCCAGGCTCTGAGCCATCAGCCCAGAGCCCGACGCGGGGCTCGAACTCACGGACCGCGAGATCGTGACCTGGCTGAAGTCGGACGCTTAACCGACTGCGCCACCCAGGCGCCCCTAAAAAATTTTTCTTAATTAAAAAAAAAAAAAAAACACAAAAAAACTTCAGTTCCTTAGTCACACATTTCAAGTGTTCAACAGCTACATGTGGCAAGTGACCACCTTGTTGGACAGCATGGATATAAAACATCCCACAGAAAGTTGTATGAGGTAGTGCTGTTTGGATCCTTTACTCAACCATGAAAATGATGTCAGAGACCACAACTGAACTCCTAACCTATTTTTAAACTGTAACAGGCACTATGGTAAATCCTACTAGCGTTGCAAAGAAACAAGAAGGCCTAGTTTCTCCCTCAAAACACAAATCTAGTGAAAAAGCCAGAACTATAGTAAGAATGAAATAAATGCTAAATTAACGTGGCAGGGGGTGGGATACAGTAACTAATTCTAATAAACAAAAGTGCTATGGGTTTGGTTGGAGTCAGATGATCACCTTCACTTATTAATGGGCACCAAGGCAGCAGGTCTATGAAAGCACGAATTTTGGCATCAGAGGGCTCTAGGCTTATGCCCCAGCTATAATGCCCCTAAACAAAGCACTTAATCTCTCAGTATCTTTACCTTCTCATCTGTAAAATAATAATGCTAGCCTCCTTAAAACAGTAGGTTCCATGAGATTAGGATCATATAAAATTAGGGTGAAAGGAGCTTCATAAATGAATGCACTCGGTGACTTTCCATAAGTCAAACAGGATGAGGTGGGGAATCAAGAAGGCTTCACAAAAGTGACATCTGAGATGGACTTCGACCTCTCTGAGATCCCTGTAGAGGTGATTCACATCTCGGATGCTGGAAATAGTATCTGAATGGCACAGTGGGGTACAAGGAGGAGGATCTGGGGGGCTCCAGGTTCTAGCCCCCAAATGCCCAGAGGGGACCCCATCTCAGTACAGCACATGATATCTGGAGGGAGGGGAGTCTCTGCTAGAGGGCTAGAACTGGGTCTCCGGAAAGAATTCTGGAATTTGGTGCCTGACAGCCTGATGTAGTCTAAGCCTCCCCAGTTCTGAGGCCTTGAAAATACTCAACCACGTAGGTGGGATCTCCACCTCACAGACAGGAGAAGCACATGTGAAGCTACTTCCTTTACTATGGAGGGCCTACTACACAGAGGCTGCCCACAATTGCTCTAAGGTTCACTGCCTCAGCTTTCTGCTATGGAATCGTCAGGGTAACAGCTGTGAAGGTGCCTATCCTTCCCCATCGAGCTGAACGCACTTGAAGGCAAAGACCCTGCCTCACGTGGAGTAATTAGCAGTCCCATTTCACCACTGCTTATGAAATGCCTATACTGTGCCTGACACCAAGCCAGATGTTCATCCGCACTATCCTGTCTACCGTTTACTCCTTGCCACAGCCAGTTGTTTGAGCCTCAGTTTTTCCTCATCTGCAAAGTTCCCACTCCAGAGAACTCTGAGAATCTAAAAAATGGCAATGTATGTGAAGGTACCAGTACTGCACCTGGCACATAATTAAAGGCACAGTAAATATCAGTCTTCATCATACCCACTTTATAGGTAAGGAAACTGAGGGTCAGAGAAGCTAAGCTACCGGGGTCAGTGAACGGCAAAATCAGGCTTAAATTCCAGGCAGTCGGCCTTTGGGGCCAACGTGTTATCCAGCACCCAGCTCAGTGCCTGGCACATAACAGGCTGGGGTCAATGAATGAATGTCAGATCCTGAGCAGGGTCCAGAATCAATGAAAGATGCATGAGAAGAGAGGCCTGAGAGATAAGGTCTAGGTAGTGTGGTCTCTTAACCGCTCTATAATGGGGGTAACTGTACCCACTTCACAGAGCGGGTCTGAGTGCGAGGATATACGTAAAGTTCTCAGCATAGTGACTGGCACAGAATAAAGGCTCTCTAAGTGGCAGCTATCTTTGTCCTCGTTTTACAGGTGAGACAACAGAAGCACAGGGAGATGAAGACACTAGCCCAATATCATTCAACCAATAAGGGGCTAAGCCAGGACTTGATCGAGGCAGTCTTACTCCAGAATCCTCTGGCTCCTACTCCAAATGCCCAGCAAAGCGCCTGGCACACAACAGCCTTGGGCCAGTACCTTCTACAAGGCTGTCGAGATAATAATAGTCACAAGTGGCAGGAGGAGCCGAAGGGGAAACGGGCCGGATGAACTGGGAGTCTGGGAACCTCAGACAAGTACCTTAAACCTTCCCGGGCCTCAGTTTCCTTCTCCGAGAAATGGGAATAACACTGTCTCCAACCTCAGAAGTGCAATCAGAGGCCGGGGCTTGGAAAGCAAGCCTCCACTAAGAAGCTTGAGGGGCCTCGGCAGTGAGCCGAGGAGAGGACAATCCAGGGGAGTCCCAAGGGGCCACAGAGGGGGTGTTTACCTTTGCGGAGCTCGCGGTGCCACACAGAGACGATGGGTCCCGCATGCTTGCGGTGGTGTATGAGCCACAGGGACAGGGTTTGCACGCTCTGTTGAGAGTTGCTCAGCTCCGAGAGCTTCTTCTCCAACGCCGACTCGGAGAAGGAGGACATGGTGGCGGCAGTGAGGCCCTGCAGGGAGCGGCCTGTGCCGCCCAGTGCGGCGGGAAGGGCAACGGCGCGAGGCCGGGGTCTCACCTGACGGCTTGCGGGGCTCTTTACTGACTGACAGACGGCCAGAGGGGTAAGGAGGGGGAGGGGATGGGTCTCCGCAGTAACAGCCACCCGCGCCGCCGCCACAAGATGGCCACCGACCTCTCACCCCGCCGTGAGAGCAGGGTCAAAGGGCAAGGGCCGGAGTAGCTGCGCACCGAGAGGTGTCGGGGCTACAGAAAAACGCCCTTTCAGTGGCGGCGGCCTCTCTGAAGTTCGCTTAGGGCACTTCGAAAGGAACAGACGAGGAGAGAGGCGCAGTTCTACTGCCTCCGGAAGGCGCTTTGACCGCTCGCAGCCGCACGCAGGCGCAGTGAGCCTCACCGGAACCCTTTCTCCCGCTCCCGCAGAACCTTTCTGGCACTGTAGGGCGCGCTAGTTAGAACGTCACTTCCGGCGGGGCCGATGAGGCGGGAGAGTGAGGGAAAGGCTGGAAGACGAGGTAAGGGAAGAGTGGCCGGAGCTAGAGGGAACGCAGCAACCGGGAGCCCTCGGAGGGGGATCCCGAGGGAGCACTCCTGCGGAGTGAGCAGGACCGGGTACGGGAGCGGGGGGGCGGGGGCGGCTTTCTCCCTAACCTGGCGGGCCCCAGGCCGCGCTCTTCTCCGTATACGTTCCTCTGTCTGGCTGTCCCCCCCCCCCAAAGTCTTCCTTTTGGTTCTGCCAAGCCACCCACGTGCACTTTTCACGGCTTGGCTCTTGCTGTTCTTTCTTCAAGGGTGACGCCCCTTTTCTCACCTGGGGTGCTCCCACTCAGCCTCCAGGACTACCCTTTAATGTCTAGTTCTGAAGTTCAGTCTGTGACAGCACCATCATAAAACACCTTCGCGCCCTTAATTTGTTGGCTTCGTTCGGGAAATTACATGCTGCCCTGGCCCTGTGGGGGGGGGGGGGTCCTTTCGATTGTTTCTCAAATTTAAGTAATATGTTAATTTTTTTGAGGGTGGGGGCAGGGAAGTCAGTGGTTTCATTGACCTCCTTTAGAGCACTATTTGAGACTCTGACCCCTTTACCTATTTTTTAAAAGTTTTAAAGTCCAGTTATCAAATCCGTGAAGAAATTTGTCTTTCTCACTGCTATGGGGGTAGTGGTAGGGAGTCAGGTTATTGTAGACATAACCGAGTTTCACATTTTACTGATTAGTGTGGAATTAACCAGCAATGGGCAAACTCCAGTTAAGAAACATTCTTCTAGTTGGTGACTGTTTTTGCTGTCACTGCACCGTATTGTAGTTCTTTGTTCAGATGCTTTGACTCTCTTCTAGACTAGAATCATCATAATTGTAGCCAACGTAGTGAGCAGTTGCTAGGGGCTAGACACTTCACACTGGTAACTCATTTAATCCTCGTGGCAAAGCTATAAGGTAGTTATTATGTTATTCTCATTTGGCAGATGAGGAAACAGACAGACGTTAGGTGGCCGACCCAAGATTACATAACTAAGATTGGAGGGAAAGGACTGCTTCTTAACCTATTTTCTCATCCCACCACTTTATTTAAAGCTGATTGAGGAAATTAATATAAAAAAGGTGAATCGCCTAAAACTATACAGTTAATATCTAGTCATAATTGTAACCAAGGGCCTTTGAGTCCAAATGTAGACCATGTTTCTATATTGAGTAGCACTGTCATATATTGAACCCTTTTATACCAAGTCAGTTTGTATTAAGCACATTCCATACTTGGTTTTATTTAATTCTTAACAACAGTTCTGTGGGATGAGGATTATTACCACTAATTTCAAAGATGAGAAAACATGAAACGGGTGAGTAATCTGTCCAATATCACTTGGACATGGAAGATGACAGAGCTAGGAGTCAAATCGAGGTTATCTGATGTCCAATCCCAAAGTCTTCACTCCTGAGCCAGTGATTCATTCTTCCAACAAATATCTTTCAACAAATAATTGTTGAGCACCTATGTCTGAAGCACTATTTTAAGCAAACAGGGTCTGTGTCCCAGGAAGCTTACCTTCTACAAGGGAAGATAGATTGAAAAAACATGCGAGTATAAAATAAGTCAGAAAGCGATATCTACCTTGAATGAAAATCAAGGAGGGCGATGAATGGATTTGTGGGAGGATAGGAGTCTGTTTTATATGCGGGTCAGAGAAGTCCTCCCTGATAGGATGACATTTGATCGGAGCCCTGAAAGAAATGAGAGAACAAGCCATATACTGTATGTGGAATGTTGTTCCACGCAGAGGGAAAACCAAGTACAATTGTTAGACCGCTGTTGGCATTTTTGAGGCACAGCAAGGAGGATGGTAAGGCCGGAGTGATAATGAACCAGAAGGCTAGAAATGAGCTCAAAAAAGCAGCCGTAGACCACATGATACGGACCACATCACGTGGGAACTTGTAAGCAATAGTAAGGAATTTGGATAATACTCTGAATTACATCAGAGCTCACTGAACACGTTTGAACAAAAGAAGAACGTTGTGGCTGTTGAGTGGAAAATAGCAAGGGTGGGACGCCTGGGTGGCGCAGTCGGTTAAGCGTCCGACTTCAGCTCAGGTCACGATCTTGCGGTCCGTGAGTTCGAGCCCCGCGTCGGGCTCTGGGCTGATGGCTCAGAGCCTGGAGCCTGTTTCCGATTCTGTGTCTCCCTCTCTCTCTGCCCCTCCCCGTTCATGCTCTGTCTCTCTCTGTCTCAAAAATAAATAAACGTTAAAAAAAAAATTAAAAAAAAAAAAAAAAAAGAAAATAGCAAGGGTGCACGGGCCGAAGCGGGAAGACCAATTCAGCGGCTGTTGTGATAACCTAGGTGAAAGGTGAAGACCGGGTGGTGAGAGAGGGTCAGATTCTGGAGATAGGAATCTGGGGATTTTGTCTTTTAGAGGAAGACTAGGACTTGCTGACAAATTAGATAAGCGATCCGAAACAAAAATGAGTTTATGTGGTGCCAAAGGTTTTCTCCGAAGCAGCCGTAAAAATGGGAGATTGCGTTTACTGAATTGCGGAAAGAGATGGTTTGAGCAGTGAAAGCAGGAGTTTAGGTTTGTACGTGTCCAGGTGGAAATGCCTCCCCAAGTAGAGGTGTCTCCATAGGCAGCGGGGTTCATAGGTCTGGAGTTTAAGGGAGAGATCTGATGGAGATGGAGATATAAATGTGGGAGTCATAAGGGGGAATAAGTGGAGAAAGAAATAGGCCCAGTGACTGAGTCCTAGAACACTTCAACACTTAGAAGTGAACGACGAGGGGGATATAATCATGTGATTTTTTTTTTCTTTAGCCCATTAATGCTAATTGCACTGATTGATTTTCAAATATTGAGTCAGCCTTCCATCTCTGGAATAAAACCTACTTTGTCATAGTATATAATTGTTTTTACATGCTGCTGAGTTGTATTTTCTAATACTTTGTTTAGGATTTTTGCATCTGTGTTCATGGAGGAAATTTGCAGGTTTTTTATTTATGTATTGTCTTTGTTGGGTTTTGGTATCAGGGTGATAGTGGCTTCGTAAAATAGCTGAGAAGATTTCCTCCTCTTCATTTTCTAGAAGATTGTGTACAATTGGTGTTAATTCCTTAAATGGTTGGTGGAAGCTTCCAATGAAACTGTCTGGGCCTGAGGATTTCTTTTCTTTTTCTTTGGTATCTCTCTGTCTGTCTTTCCCTCTCATCAGTCTTGCTAGAAGTTTGTCGATTTTATTGATCTTTTCAAAGAACCAGTTGTTTCATGGATTTTTCTCTATTTTCTGTTCTCAATTTCATTGATTTCTGCTCTGCTTTTTATTATTTTCTTCTGCTTTCTTTGGTTTTATTTTGCTCCTCTTTTTCAAGGTTCTTAAGGTAGAAGTTTAGATTATTGATTTGGGACCTTTTCCCTTTTCTAATATATGTATTTACTGCTGTAAATTTCCCTCTCAGCATGGCTATAGCTGTGGCACACAAATTTTGATACATTGTATTTTTACTTTCATTTCTTTCTTTTCTTTTTTTTTTTTTTTTAAAGTTTGCTTTGAGAAAGAGAAAGAGAGAACTCGAGCAGGGAAGGGCAGAGAGAGCGGAAGAGGGAGAATCCCAAACAGACTCTGCACTGAGCCTGATGCCGAGCTGGATCTCACAGCCTCAAGATTGTGACCTGAGCTGAAATTAAGAGTTAACCAACTGAGCCACATAGGCGTCCCTTACTTTCATTCATTTTTATGTATCTTTTTAAAATTTCCCTTGAGATTTCCTCTTTGATCCATGGATTAATTAGAAATGTGTTGCTTAGTTTCCAGGTATTTGGAGATTTTCCTGTTATCTCTGTTACTGAGATTTCTAGTTTAATTCCATTGTGGTTGGGGATCATACTGTATTCTCTGTTTCGTGGTGCAAGATACGACCCATCTTGGTATCTGTTCTATGGTCACTTGAAAGTGTATTCTCCTGTTGTGGGTTGTAGTGTTCTTTAAATGTTGCTTAGATCCTGTTGGTGGAGGTGTTCTTGAGTTCTGTTATCCTTGCTGATTTCCTACTTGTTTTATCAGTTTTTGAGAGAAGAACATTGACGTCACCACCTATACTTGTGGTGACCACCTATAGTTCTCCTTTCAGTTTTATTCTATTTTTGCTTCACACATCTTGTGGTTGTTTTGTATCTAGCATTTATGTCTTGACAGAATCCGTTGGAGATTGCTGTCTTCTCTATTGGTTTCCCCTTTAATGGTTATAGAATGTCCCTCCCTATCTCTGGTAATTTTCTTTTTTCTGAAGTCTATCTGATGTTGAGATAACCACTCTTGCATGCTTTTGATTAATGTTTGCATGATAATATCCCTTTTCGTCTGTTCTTTTACTTTCAACCTACTTATATTCTATTTGAAGAGAGTTTCTTGTAGACAGCATAGACATAGGTCATATTTTGTAATCTATTCTGACATTCTGTATTTATTTTTTCATTGGTATATTTA